AAAGTTGGTTTTGATAAGTGCCTATTCCTTTTTTACAAATAGTATTTGACGACTCTAGTTGTTGACTAACCCATAAAGGTTTTCAAATTCACTGAATTCTCAACGCATACACCTATGTGCGATAGTTGGAAATTTTGACATGTGTATGTCCAATGATTTCACTGATATAGAAGCTTTAAAGGGCAAATTCACTCAATATATGAAATTACATTGATAGAGTTCCTTTTCGAAGTGTAACATTTGATAGAACGGGTTTTATAGATTAGTGGAATTGACCAGCGACTAGATTTGGGATATCTTGCAAAAAATCCAGGTTACAAGGCTTTCACGTTGCTGTAGTTGTTGATTATCTATATCACAAATTTAGACCGTTAATTTGGACTTCAATTTTTGTGATCATTTTGTATAGTTGTTGACTGAGTGTGGCTGATCCACTGTGGATGTGAAAGCAGAAATGCAAGAGGATGAAAAGGATCAAAATAGAAAAAAGCTCGAATTGTGCCCTGAATGTCATTAGGTGGTGAGTGAAGAATCCTACGTTAGATTTACCAATTAGAAAGGTCAAGAAAATAAGGGAATGTCCATGTTATCTGCATTTTTTGAATTAGCTTATTCATAAAATATTTCTTCTTGGCGAAAAGTCTACTTTACGATGGCTTTGTCATAAAACTGTGCCAATCTTCTGTTAGATGTAGTGCGCATTGATATCATTATGTATTGTCCGAAATCCACACCGAATATCCCTTTGGAAATCCACAAGGTCACGAGTGTGTTAGTTGTGCTTTAAGGAATTATAGCTCCATTAAATACTAGGCTTAATAAGATAGGACTACAGCGGATGTGCATAGGAATGAGTCACTTATTGCCCATTTGGATGCGAACTTGACCTAGACCGTTACAAGACATAGTTTACAAAAAAGTTAACATGAACAATAAAAGATAAGTGGATACCTTCCAATCTCGGTGATCAGTTATATTCGCTTTTCTTTCGAACCATCCTATGAATTGTATGCTCTTGGTATTGTACCGTTTCTTGGGGATATACGAGTCGCAGAGTCAAATAGATTTTTATAAAATGAACAACAGACGTTGTAGCCGTGTTTGCAGAAGGGAGTTTCTGGGAAGCTGCTATCATTCTACCCTGATAACCAGCTGATGAACTGCACTCAGTACGACCTATCCGATTAGCCAAAAATCCTTATGTTTTTATTGCTTTTTTTCGCGATGTTGTAGTTTCAAGTATACCTAAGAGAATTGAGTGGTAGGCAGAAGGCGACCTCAAACCCGACAATTCTTTGCCTACCACTCAGTTCTCTTAGGCATACTTGAAACGTCATAACACTGCGAAAAAGGAGCAGCAAAGACAAGAATTCTTGGATTTGAATAAGTACAATGGCTGGCAGCTTAACTGGGTCCATTTCCGATTGAGGTCAAATTTTTTGCCTACCAATGAGCTCTGCGATGTATTCAATAAGCCTTTCAATAACCTCAGTAATGTATTGGCAGATGTGCCTGTTAGAATGTTTGAAGCCCTACCGAGGTTGTTACGTCAGAGCCATGCACGTGCTTCGGAGGTATCGCCCTCTTCATCAGTGGCCCACGCTCCACACTGAGCTCTACTTCATGGCAGGGAGGGGTAACGTATGTGGTGATAGCACAACGTAGAATGACACTGTGTTATCACCATTTTTCAGTCGATAGATTGCGGCTGGTAGATGCAAATTGATCCACCTCATCGACTGTTGGCTCTGACGTAACAAGCTCAGTAAGGCTTTAAACATTCTTAAAGACGATATTGAATGTTTATAGCGAGGTTAAAAAAAGTCGATAAGGTAGGTGAATTTATTGGCAGATGGTTTTCTAGCGCAGTATTTCTCATTCATCTATGTGATTCAAAAGTCCTATGAGAACATTATGATTTTACTTGGGCTTAGCAACATCTTCCCAGTTCATTTTTTAGAAGATTCTTTGTCAATATAGGAATCCAGCTGTGTAACTGAAAATAAAGGTATAATATGAAGATAGACTATTTTGTGGTATACCAGTGTATAATCTCGAATGACTCCTCTGAAGGCAACCAAAAGGAGAAAAAATTAACTGATTAACGGAATGAAAAACTTTTACAGCAGAGGTACTTTTACAGTAAAGGTTCTACTGTAATAAATCTTTTCCACCTTCAGTCTGTAGAGAAGCGTTTCAATAGGCTGGGTGTACTTTACTGCATTAGTACGTGGTGGATATGTTGTCTTGGACTGGTCTTCTGCTTGTATGAACATCGCTAATAATCAGAATATTCATGAGATTCATCGTCAACTAGACCTTTTCCAGAATGATGCTCAGCAACTTCTGTAATAACTGTTATAAGGAGAAATTTTTCATCAAGGCTCATGAAAGACGACGTCTGCAGGTTATCAACACGCATTTATTCTGTTTTCTTTGTTCGGTATGAGATGTTCAGCGATATCATTGAGCATTCGTACCAATGACATTCGAACAGATGACCCTACAAGTCTGATTTCAAAAATTAGTGATTCTCTCTTTCTTCATGAAGATTTTTCTCTTGCTCTTTGATCATTTAGATCTTCGAGAGTACATAATACGCTACTATTAATCAAATTATAGTAATTAGTTTCAGATACATTTCTAAACAAAACTACGAAGCTTTTTAACATAAGAATTCATCTTTGTCACACTGTCACTCTCTAGATTGAAAGTTTCCGTTTTCACATATTTAGAATAAATTCCACAAAATTTCCCTCAAGCGAATACACTTATCTTCGACGATATCGAACCAACATAGTACCATGGATATCAAAAAGCTTTAGCTAACTTTATTTTTCAAATTCATTACCAGTTATCTTACTTGTACCATACGATGACTAAGATGCACTTGAACATCAAGTAAAGTTGGGAGTTAAGTGATAATTTCGAAAATCTGCGCCTAAAAGCAATCTTATACTTTTGGAAAAGCATATCCAGTGATATTCAGTTAGAGCACTCTTCATGAGATGAAAAAGTTCATTAGACTCCTTGATTCTAAGTACAATAATTCATCCTCAAATCTGGAGATGATTATTGGAGTAAGTAATAAATAATTTCTTCAAAACTACTAGTAATGTATGAAATTGTTCGGACTTTACTGAGATTTGAATACTATTCTAGAAATACCACTTTATAAAAATGAGAACTTCTCACTTATCAATCTTAACGTAAACCTTGAACGATCTACGGGAAGAACACTTTCCTCATCCTACCTAAAGATTCCAAAGGAATCACTGGATAAGATTTTGTGCTTGTTTACCATTTCATACTGTTTTTATGCTTACATTAAACTGTCATTAGCTTGTATCCCATTACGCATTCTGATATGTTTGATCTTCAGTTTCCTTTTCCTTCATACTCTTTTATCATCTACATTATATACTTATCCGTATACTTTCACCTTCTTTTCAATTTCACACATAACAGAACTTTTTTTTTGAAATCAATCTAAAGGAGTATAAATGATGAAAGGTATTCAATCAAAAAATTTAACCTTAACTTTCAAGAAATTCAACCTTAACATTAAGATGAACATCGGACATGTGGTAACTTGGGAAACTAACTTTCAAATGAACTTGACTTCCACAGAACTGTCTCATCGGCCACTTTGAGGAGAAACATGATATAGCATATGGATCCATTGTTTACTGAATTTCTTACATTCATTAACTAACGCCTGCAAAACCATCGATTCAGAGATAATTTTTAACCTGGTGATCAACAAGGTGATTCTAACAAATTGTTGAAGAGAACGACGAGTAGAGAAAAACAGCAATTCACAGAGACGGAGTGAGATTTGATCGAAAGACAAAAGAAGAATTTTCAATAAATTCTACTGATGAAACACATATCAGTTGATAGTTGTCTTATCCCAACATTTGGCACTCTACACTTTTCTTCTACCGAAACTGTTGCGTTATGACTATAATTTGTGGAAGTTGGAAAGTATGACCTATCATAGCATCATGTCTTTGATCAGTTTTGGAGTTCTTTAGCTGTAATCTTGGTGTTATGTAGAGTGTGTGAAGTTCGAAAGCCGAGAACTGGCGATAGAGCATTATTCTCAAAAGCTACAACAGATGCCGTGATGTTCAGTTTAGGATAGACTTGTAGTACCTATTCACAACTTTGGTTCGATCTTTAGCACAATTATAGCTGGAATTGTATTGTTCGCGTTCTTTTACCACAAATGGCCCAGCATTTCGTTGTGTGTAATCGCCTTTTACAGAGAAATCGTCTTATAATGACCCTCATGAATCCGTAGATTTGGACTACATATCGCAATATACTTCAGAAGGATTTACTTCAATGTGAACAGTCCCAATATACATTGAGGAAATTACGCTCTATCCTATTCTAAGATCACTTGTCTCAAAATAAGTGCATGTTTTTTTTTATAAAATGTTGCCTTTTCAGCTATACATGGATGACCACTCTCTGCGAACCACCAGGTGGCACTCCGGAGAAGATACCAGAAAAAAATATATTGTCCAACCTAAATAGTATTTCCCTCCTGCTGTTATATTTAACATCCTTATAAAAGATAAAAAGACACTACATATCGACAATGTCACCTGATAAAAAAAATTTTTTTGCGGTACATTTCGGTTTTCCTATTTTGCCTCAAATTAATCTCAACGATCTTATTGTCTAAGTCATCGCACTCTCCTAGCTAAAATTAGAGGAATTAACTTTTTCTTCTTCCATAAAAGACCACCCTCCGTCAAGAATATCTCATGATTAGCATTTCTTCTTCCAATTTTACCTGAAAACGTGAGTTGTTGCACCTCGATTGTGACATATTGCCCTACACTTACTATTGAAATACATACACTGCAGCAAAGAAGAACCATAGATCTCAGGTTGTACCTCAACGTGCTTTTAATGCACCAACAACTTAGTTCTCATGAGTTGACATTCTTTTTTACCTAAAAGAACTGGCTGATGAGCAAAAATCCAACCTCAGACGGGAGCTGAACCTGCGTTTCACCCATACCGTGGGCGCGTGCTACCACTGCACCATCGAGGCCATCCCTTATCCATCACTCACTCTTCAATATCTCACTGTCATAGCTATCAGCCACCAACCGTTAACAGGCTTGGTCGGGTGAGCAGATGCCGCTTCCTAAGCGTAGTTAGCTGACACCTAAAATCCATTCATAATACTCAAGATTCCTTATGTTAGCGTGAACTCCGATATGGGTGAAATGCGGGTCCAGCTCCCATGTGAGGTTGAATTTTTGCTCAACACACAGTTCTCTTACAAGATCTGAAACGTCATAACACTGTGAAAGAAAACAGGTAAAATATAACGAACCTTGAGTTTTCCTTTTTTGCTTTATTGATCCGTCTTGTTCTAGAAAATACCACTTTCATGAGAACTTGTTTTATACTCGTTAACTTCAGACATGCTACAAAAGGTAGATGTTCTTCATCGAGCAATGAGTTCTAGAGAAATACCAAAGATTCTGCGTGACTCATCCAATTTTTTGCTACTTGTAGTTACCAAGACGGCGGTCGCACCTGGTATGTACTTACAGCTGGGCTTTCCAAGAGGAAACGTTGGACAAGTGCGCAGTTTGGGTATCCCTGCTGGAACGTTGGACCTTCCATTGGACTTCGCTGTCTGACACTCAGCAACACCTTCCAGCCACGAATAGGCGGTAAGAAACCATTTGAGGGGCTGATTTGAACTTTGGCACAGCAACGGATGAAGTTGCATTGTTGTTACAATCTATCATCTCCCTGGAGTATTTGTTCCTAATGAAAATTGGTGCAAGATTAATTCATAGAATCCGATAGTCTGGGTTTATTGTTGCAATACACTTCAAAGCTTCTTATAGGACTGTCTCGACATTCATTGAGCAAACTAGACTTCTGCACTCTTACTATGCTCTTGAAACCTGCACTCTGTATTATGCTCTCAAATCGTTTGGGTCCTTATACAACCATATGCTCTTTCATATTAGAAACATTGCCTAAATATAATTATATAATATAAATAATATATAAATATACTAAAATTATATAATATATAAATATACTAAATATAAATATAATAATATTCATATTAAAAACGTTGCATAAACGTTGCCTTTTTTAGTTATCTAGGAATGACCATTTTCTAAGCAAGCCAATTGGAGGCTCTCCAGAGAACATAGTAGAGAAATTTCAAATGTCCAATTTGAATAGTGTAGCCTTTCTGTTATATTGAACATTTATACATAAAATAAAACACGTCAACATAATAAAAATATCACCTAATAAAAGCAGTTAGTATGCAGAATATTTGGTTTTTGGTTTTTCGCCTCAAAGTCGACTTGAATCTCATCGATTTCGTTGTCTAGGTTATCGCACTCTTCCAACTAAAATTGAAGTGATCAACACTTTTCTTCAAGCTTATGAAAATGCTTCGTTGGTTCACAATTCACTGAAAATGTGTTACATATGACCTAAAATCTCTTTCATAATTTTTTAGAAAAATTTGAGCCCGGAAGTAACGGAAATCCTACGTTTACTACTAAAGTTATACTGCACTGCAGAGAAACCACACGTTTTCAGGAAAACCTAAACATATCTTGAATGCATTTCTACAACTCATTTTTCATTATTTGTTTTATTCGAGTAATTTTGGAACTGAAAAAAACGTGATGCAGCCGGCTGAAGATGGAAAAGGTCAAGACGAAAAAAGGTATCCTAATATTGAAAAAACCGACTTCTCATCAGTCTACTACGCTACTAGTACTACTATCACCAACCTCGCGCTGGCCAAGCAAGATAATTCTTGAGAATTTCATGATCTTATACGAAGATACATACCTTTCCACAAAGTTCGCAGACGAACCAAGCACCCATAGTAGCTTCTTCAGGATTATCTTCGATAGTCTATATTAATAACGTGCGCCGGATTACCACTAGTTGATGGTTTCGTGTGAAGATGGTCTACTACCTGTAAAAATTGAATGGAGCAGGCATAGACTGATGCTAACATCTCGACTTTTCGCAATGCGTGGATTCCAGTATCTATTTAATCTGGTCGACTGCCTTTGGTTTTTCATTAGACGGCACGAAATGAAGAAACGACCCCTTTCGCTCGACAAGAACTTTTCGTAAGAGTGTTAGTAATCATTCGAACGCTCAAAATTCTGGCTAGTGCGCTATGCACTTCCTTTAGGAATCCCTCTTATAACGCTGTAGAACTTAAAGCGAGATTATGTTTTACATCGGTCGCGTGTTTTTTCTATTATTTCGTTGGAAGCATAAAAAGTATGTGAACGTGCCGAGGAAATTATTCAGTATCACAATCATACGTTTTATCTGAAGATTCTTTCCAAACGGAGAAAAATCTTCAATTGAATAACAAAAATCTCGCTTCACATGTAATGCTTTACACCGATCGACCAACCGATCGATCGTGGAACGCCGTATCGAATCTACAACCAGTGAGCACGCAGACCGCACATTAGCCGATAAACAAGCACGCCGAATATGTGAAGCTCGATATTTTTTTCTGCTACACTGCAATGGAACGGTCCTTCCAGAGTTCAAACTAGCGTTGTAATGGTCGAAAGTTACGTTATAGCATGGTTACTACTAGTCTTGGAGAAGAGCACTACTCTGCGAGAAATATGCGCGTGTGAAACACAAATGTTTTCATTGTGCTAGAGCTCTAAAGATAGAATTTTCTCAAAAAACAGCCAGGTAACGCACTAGTCTGAGGTTCAAGCTTTCGAACGAATACTAAAGATGCAACGAAAAGTCTTGGTTTCAGCAAAAATGGTCGTTTCTCCATCACGTGCCGTCTAACTGAAAGAACTCTATCTTTTATCCGTCATCCATAGAAGTTTGTGGATATTCTGCTTGAGTTCGTCTGCTACTTATTTTCTTAACGAACGTCAATCAAAGTCCATAGTAATTTTCTTGAAAGTTCCAGGATAGTCTAAGTAGAATGTACGCCGCTCTTCATCACTACAGTCAGTGACTTTTAGAGTCCTGAGAAGGTTTTCGCTGAGAAGTTTGAAAGAAACCACGGAACGACAAAGCGCTTGCTTCGCTCAGATCAAAGTCAATCGACATTCTGGAGATTACCCAATATGTGGAGTACTGTGCAAAAACGATCTGGTATACATATTGGGTGTACTAATAACATCATACCAGTGCAAGTGACAGTCAAAATAGAAAGAACTATGACTGATTATCGATATCCAATGTCTGTCAACTCAAGTGGGTTCAGTGCCGATAGGGGCTGCCCCGCCAGACCGTCGACGGTTGGCTGTTGGCAGACAACGCGTTATAGCGTAAATAAGAGTGCTGTGCAAAAAACGAGCGTCGATAGTGCAACGGTTAGCATACGCTCCCGGAAAGAGTGAGATCTGGGTTCGAATCCCGGCTGAAAAGAAATAATATAAACCAGCGTCGGTAGTGCAACGGTTAGCATACGCTCCCTGAAAGAGTGAGATCTGGGTTCGAATCCCGGCTGACGCAAAACGTTTTTGCACAGTACTTCACATATTGGGTATACTAATAACATCATACCACTGCAAGTGGCAGTCAAAATAGAAAGAATTTTTCTGGAGAATATGTTCTCAGTAGCAACCGAACCTACATATAAGATCCGCAAATCTTTGTGTTTTACGGGATAAAAGAGACACATACACAAGATAACCAACCAAATGGAAGAATTAGTGGAGCCTGCACAATATGTGGAATTGCACCAGGCGAAAAAGTTATCATTATTTTGTATAAAAAAGTCGATTTCTCAAACTGTAAGACAGAAAAGTAGTTGGTTTCACAATTACTCAATCGCTTACTTCTAGATTTATCGATTACATACTAATTGTTTCAATGGACTAGACTACTAGGCAACGAAATTCAAAACCATTGACTACTCCAGTTTTCTGAGACATAACAAAACACTTCACAACATAGATCCTTCCAACGCAGTAATGAATTGGCAATTTAAAGCCAGTCAAAATCTCGAACCTGATCATAAACTCGCTCTTCAAGACAAATGATGACATCGAACTCCTGATCTTCGTGTTGGAACTTTTGTGGAGCCGATTTTATGCGACGATTCCGGTCCAACATACAAAAAAAGGCCATTCTGAGTATAACTAAAGAACGACAGAAGCTTAGAATGAAGATAGATATACTAACTACAGAGACAGAAATTAGTATTACTCTTACTATGCCGCATCTTTTGCTTTCAAGTCGTTGTATATGTACTCGTATGTTGCTTTTCCGAACTCATAACAGTTTGGTTTATCGATTGCTGTGCCGGGAAGTTTCACCTGATTCCCGATCCATATGACTCGATGATAAACCCCTCTGGATATCGGTAAGAGTTGATCGCACGTCTCATGTTTTCCAGAGCGCGTGCGTACCACTGCAATATTCGAATATGGAAGAAGAGTGCTCTGCTTGAGTGGTGCGTGGGTGACCTGGAGAGGGCAAAAGAGTTGATTAGAAAAGGACTTGAGCAGTCAGTTCCAATTATTCTTTCTGAGACTTTGAAGGGAAATCAGTTGTGTAGTGATTCATCATCGAATATAAGAGGTCCATGGAACCTAATTCTAGGTATCCTGATTTTGCAAAACTTTATATAATGTTGGGACGAATCACCCCTCAAGAGAATAATCATGCGAAGCTAGAAAAATATTCACTGAGGGGTAGGTTCAGTCAGAATGAGGGTCATTCATGAGTATCTCAGCATTTTTAATGTTTATTCAAGATTGAAAAGTGCCCAGGTGCCGTTCCTCTATGGCTGCTACTGAGTCGTCTGGAAGAGTTATATAAACAAATAATTAAGGCAAGATCTGATATGGAAAAGGTTGGTCATTTTTCGTCCGTTTCTTTAGGGCGACTTGTGAAATATACATTTGTCAACTTCAAGTAATCACGTTATTACGTCAGTTCATACCTGTATTTTTGCTGTGGAAGTGGGTGGATCAAAGTGATTGTTAAATAAGAGATTCAACCCTTTGCGGATAATGAGGGTCACTGTGACCTTAAAAATTTCCGAGTTCTCTC